TATTTATTATTTTCGTTTTTTGTTGTTTTTGTGTTGGTTGGGGAGGAAGCAGGAAATCGATGCGTGAACCACGCCCACTTCCCCTTTGCCTATTTTTTTTTTCTTATTTAGCAACAAAGTCCAAGCAAATGCGTAAAAATTATGCCACAGCTTGAACGAATCTACACGAGAAGAAAAAATAAATAAATGAAAATACTATATAAACGATATGAAAGAATAAGAGAAAAGAGAAAAAATATGCGGATATGGAATTTTCTAGAAGGGGGCGTTTGGGTGTATTTTTTTTGGGAAGTTACTTTGGGTGGTGATGAGGAGACCAAAGCCGGACAACCAATTTACTTTTATTTTATAGATGCCCGGCTTTTTAGGTTTTTACTCAGAGGCTCAGCAGACCATTCCTACTTCTAATATTTTTTTTGTGGCTGAAAGGCGTTAAATATTTGGCTTGTATGTGCATAATTTATGCCTACCAGCAGGGCCAAAAAATAATAAAACCAAGATAAAAAATGTATTTATTTTGCGCATATTTACGCATGGCCAACAAAAAACTGAAACTACATCGATATCGTTGGGGAAAAAGTAGCCGGCTAAATGCGCATAAATATTAAATGAGAGCTGGTGGAGAGTGTATCAATTGTTTGTGGGGACCACCCTACTTATATAGACCTCCCTACTGTAGCCCCTTGTATTTCTACTCGGACTTTGGGATGGAAGATGATAATTTAGTTTTCAGCACTCCATTGCAATAAATTCCATTTGCCAGGCCATTTCCAACTGGTTTTGTCAGGGCGACTCTAGTCTGTCGTCTACTATTCTCTACGACTATACTATATACCATATATATATATTATAAAATATATATATACAAACATTTATAGAGAGATGTACTGAGAGATCCAACTTCCAACTGCTGCTAACTGCTTGGCACTCAACATTATAAATGGCCCTGGGTGAGAGGGAAAAAGGCACAAGGCAGGGGCAGAGTCATTGCAGCCAAACAAAAACTTATTATTTATATACACATATTATTTTGTATGTTTGTATGTATGTACATCAAAAGTACAAAAGCACAAAGTACTAGTTTTGCCCAAAACGGGCTCTCCACTCTAATAAATAATTATCGTATTGTTTAAGTCTCGAATGGAATGCCATAAATCATGACCACTTGGCCACTAGACGTCGCGCGATATTTGACTCTGAATTATTATCATCAGAGTCGCATCAGACTGATAAGCACTATGGCGACATGGAGCCAGCCCAGGAATAGGGTGGCATCTATCTTGAGAAGCCCTAAGAACAGGAAACAGGGTGAAAATGTATTCTTTAAGAAGGACTATTGGGGGTTTCTAGTTAGTTTATGGTTATAGATTTAAAATAAATATAAATTTGAGTTAAAAAATTATTAAAACAATCATGAAAGTATAACCCACTTTCCAACCAGCTAATTTTCACAATTTATTCTAAATTTATACAGACATCTTTGGGGGGTTGTTGGTCGTGCGGTTCTTGCTTAAATCTCATATGAATATCTAATCTGTTTGTCTTAAATTCGAAAAACCCAAAAGCCAGTCTCATAGAGTCGAGCTGCTGAAGAGCCCAATTCCGAACAAGTTGATAGGCCCACCCAGGGGCCAAGCCGAGCCAAGCCAAAAGTGAGAGGCACTTGTTACCAACACGCTTCACGACTTGAGCAGGAAAATTGCGTTTTGGCCGCAAACCGTTTGCCCTTTGGCTTATGCCCCCAACCATCCGGGCTTAAATGGATGCTCGAATGAGAATCAGTGGGTGTTTGGGATGTGGTGGCCTGACTGGCATATTATAGGTCCCCGAAGTAAAGTAAACGCGTCAAAATGAGTCAAATGCCGGGCCCTCAAACTTTTGTGTGGCTTGTGCACAAAATGGAAGAATTTAAATCAGCCCCATTCCGTGGGAATAGGCCAAACTATGATGAGTCGAAAAATGGGTTTCAACTTAAAGGGAATGTGTGCATGGGGTTGTGGGTCAAAAGCTTTTAAGCCAAGTCCCGCAGTACAGGCCACAGCAACATCATCATCATCCCGATTATTGAATAAAAATGGGAAAAGCGCAGCCAAACATACCGCAACTATGCTGCAGTGTTGCGGCTAACAATCCGCGTAGGTGTACAGCCCAGGACTCCTAAAAGGACCTCATCTAGAAACCAGAAACACTGCACTTTAAAGGCTGGTCAGGCACTGTATTTATTGACGATTGATGGATTGGCAGGCATTTCAACATTACTTCACTAAATTCAAAGCTATTTGGTCAAAAATGTTACACAGTTCTACATGCTGGCTATTTTTTGTTCTTATGGTCTTTTGGTTCTGACTTCACTTTACTTCTTTCAGGACTCTTTAAATGTTTAGCTTTAGATGGACTTGGATTTTCATACTGTGACGAACATAGTCTTTTCTTTAGGAAGATTCTTTCTGGTACTTTCTCGATTGCTGTTGGCTCAGATTTAATGATGGACTTGATTTGGTCGCCCGTTCTACGCCAAACCCGCATTTTAGTTTTTTCACTATCTGGTGTGGGCTTTTTAGAAACCAATGGAACTCCGAATCGTACTTTCTTTGGTCCTTGATCCGCTTTATTTTGTCCTTTAAGGGGTTCTGTCTTTATTATTGGCTTGCTTGGTGGAATATTCTGGTTTATTGGATGAACTCCAGGCTTTTGCTTTAAAGAAACGGCTTGTTTAACCAACAAGTAACTCTCGCCAGGGATTCGGTTCTGAAGGCGTTTCGTTCGAGACAGTTTCCTGGCCATTTCTCGCCTATAATCCTCGGGTTCAGGATATATAGGTTTTTCGGTATTTTTTAGGGGTTTCCTAAACGGGAAGGTTGGTTTCGGCTCTATGGCTTTAATGGTTCTTTTTTGAGAGGTTGGGGAAATACTTTCTCCCCCAGTTTCTCTGACTATTCCAGAACTGGTGTCTTTGTTTTCTATATCAGGGTTGGAGAACTTGTATGTTGATTTGGAGGTAAGACTGCTCTCTGATTTCATAGAAGACCCGTAAGTACTTCCCTGGGAGTTCGATAAAGAAAAGTAGCTTCTTAGATGCTTCCAGGGAGATGTTTCCAACGGGTGCCGCATCTTGGCCAGGTGCTCTCTTTCCTTTAATTCCTCCCAAAAATCAACAGAGGGCTTGTGAATCCTAGCTGGGCTGGCCGGCCTATATGGTTCCAATTCCTGGATTTGGATTCTCCCAGGCATAGCTGGAGGAGGGGGAGGAGCTAGAAGTGCTGGAAGATTCTGTTTTAAGGGCCTTTCAATTGTTTGCAACCTGCTTTGCCAACTAAGCCTCGCAAGAGTTAGACGTTTCTTAACCAGATTTATGTTCTCCAGAGGACGAAGAGTCACTTCCATCTTATCCAGCTCCCTGACTTTTAATTGAATTTTTCGTACATCTTCGTGGAAGGGTCGAGGTCTATTGGGTATGTGAATCTGAAAGCCTCCTTTGCGAAGAACCATCGTTTTATTTGGATCCCGATTCAAACAGCTCCAGGGCCTTCCATTAAAGTATGGCTCGGACATGCAGCCACCGGAGAATCTCTGGCAGGGCACAATCCTGTGCTGGGTTCTGGGCTGAGGCTTCTGGCCGTCGCCCACCAGCTGACGGTGGTGCTGGTTCTGGACGACGGCGGCGTAGAGGTTCGATATCCGAGTAATGTAGATGCGCTGGACCTTCACCCACGATCCTTTGATGGGAGCTTCAGCCTTAGGTTTGGGATCGTAGAGCTCCAGTTGCTTCTCCTCCGCCTCGCAGGCATTTTGCAAAGCCAGCGCTTTTAAGGGCTCCGGCAAATCGGCAAAGGGCCTGACTATTGCTCGTCTGGATTGTAGGGCCAGGGAGCCCCTAGGATCGCTGGCTTGGCAAGGACACCGATAAGGCGCATACCCGTATGGCAGGGAATCATTCGAGGGGATGTCCCTAAGAGTGCTGAACTGATCGTAGCCCACTCGCCTCAAGCCCGCCCAGATCTCCTTGGCCGCCGAGATTTCAATCTTTGGGGGTCTCGTTCCGCCAAACAAGATCATGGCCCCCTTGCCGCAGTAGCCGGAATTGTGAATGTTCTTCAGGTCGTTCTCCATGTCCTGACAGCAACAACCCTTTTTCTTGCGCCCACAATCTTTGCCGTGATTCATAGGCAGGTTGAGGAAGTACTGCAGCATGGTTACCAGCACCAGTAGGGTTCGGGTCGGCATCGGGTTCCTCAGGTTACCGTCCTCATCATAAATTCCATAGTACAGTTCACAGGTATCGGACAGGACAAAGGGTATCTTGAGTGTGTTCCAGCCAGCCGCCAGGGGATACAGGATCCTGGCGAATAGGTTGAGGGTCAGATGATGCAGGAACTGGCAGACCTTGTCCGCCGACTTGTTCACTATCTTGGCCAGTACCCCGATCATGCCGCTGTTCAGCTGACCCCATCGTCTTTCCCTCGAGAGGCAGCAGCTGGTTGCCTTGCGTCCCTCCAGAAACGGACGACAATTCTGGACGGGTATGAGCCTGGGCAGGGCCGGGATACAGGCCAAGGGATCGTATCGATCCCTGTTGGACCGGCAGCAACACGTATTCATTTCTAGGCCTGACCGCCTAGGATAGCCGAATCTAAACGATACTCTTCAATTTGGAATATGCCACTTCGAGGCTGTAATCAAAACCAAACACATAGTCAAAACCGAACCTATCCCCTTGCCTAAATTTTAAATCGCTATTTGATTAAAAATGCCCAGCATACGTAGTTTTTAAATATTGCAGGAAATAGAAAATAAACTAATCTTATCGATATGCTCTAGAGTCTAGAATAAAGTTCCTTTCCCTTAGAGGTATAGTAATCTGTATGGTAATCTAACTTATGGAAGTTGATCTTAATAACTTCGTCTTGTGCCTAATTTACCATAAGTTTCTGGGCCTGGGATAAGTTCCAGAACCTTCCGGAATAAATGCCTCCAATTTTAAGACTATACCCGAACTTAGCCCAAAGCTTTATTAATCAAATTTTATTTTATTATTTTCAGATAATTTTTCTAGATTTTTCGAGTTTTATAACTCCAATCACTTTCAATATGCGATTTGATGTTTCACAGTCCAGGTCCTCTTGGTATCGCCAGGCTCATCTTTATATAGAGCTGCCAGACGTTTTCTCCAAATACTATTCTTTGGATGAGGTGCACTCCCGACCACCTCGTTGTAGAACTTGGATATCCCATCTACTAACTTGCTCGCAGAACCTCTATCTAACTTTATTTGTTTTTGATCCGATACTGATTCTAATTCGGCAAGATCCACTAACCGAATAGCCTCAATTAGATTTTTGGAATCCACATGAATAATCTGTTTTTCACTGAAATCATTAAATATTTCCCGAACTTCCAAGGACCTTCTTTCAATATTTATATTCTCTACTTCTGGATTCTTTGGAGGATCTGACCCGTCCAGCTTGGTAAGAAGACCCGGAACCGTGCTATCAGATGTGAAGGAATCCATCTCACCATTATAGGCTGAGGAGAGGCTACTTCGGGGTGCCCTGACCCGGATCGACGCTGGAGATGGGTTGGAAATGATTCCCACCGACTGGTCACTAATGCGAGTCTGTTTTGTGGCGCTAGCTAGTCTATGATGGTGCAAGATCTGGTCTAGGCCTACAATCTCCGGCCGTCCAACTCTAGGGTAGCATTCCCCGAAACCGCATTTTGTATTTGAATTTATTGGAAGTCCCGAACAACCGTCCAATGGTTGCCTGTTGAGGCAACGCTGCAGCAAGAACAGTAAACTGAAGAGACTCCGGGGATTGGTGGGGTCCCGCAAGTTGCCCCCCTCATCGAAAATGCCCAGATACCGTTCACAGACAGTCGGATGACAGAGGGGCACGTTGCACGGACTCCGGCCACAACCCTCGGGGTACAGCAGTCGACTGTAGTTCTGCAGGGTAAGCTCACGGAGGAATGCTCCGATTTCCTCCGGATAACAATCCAAGAGCTTTGCCAATCGCTGGATCACAACCACGTTGCGTTCCCGCCAGAACTTCCGTTCGCCGGAATCCCATCTGTGATGGAGTACCGCAATCGGGTCACTCCTGGGGCAAACGCCAAGCGACCACGGTCCGCCCGGAAAATTATAGCCACAACTAGAGCCTGCAATGCCCTTATTAAGTCTACAAGACAGAAGGCACATAATTTTGGGATAAAACTTAGGAAATATTGAAATTTTTAAAAAAATTATAGTATTGAAAAGTAAAAAAAACTATAATAATCAAGGGACTTTATGACAGGAAATCGAAGGAATATTAGGAATTTTCTTCCAAAAAGAAATATACCAAGCAGGAAACCACTTTTCCCCTCCAAATCCAAGGTATAATCTGTTTATAGATCACCTTGTCACTTCGATTGGCATTTTGTAAACAGGGGAGCGTGTCGGCTCATCAATATAATTTATTTTTTTTTATTTTTGGAGCAAAGCTCCGACTGACACGAAAATTAAATAATAGATTTTACTTTTTTTTTTTTGCCACGAAACGTGTTGGTAACTTAAAAAGTAAATTTGATTATGTTAATTCTTTTCCGTCTTTACCCTTTTTTGGGGTAATTTGATTTTTAAAAAAAAAAAAAGGCGTTGCCCCACCCAACGAAGTGGTGGAGAAGCCAGAACGATGATGGACAAGTGTGGCTGGTGTGTGGGCCAAAACAGATAAAAGAGATGAAGAAACGGAATACGTTTGGGGAGTCAATAACCGCAATAAAGCGATGGCATGGGATTTTTGGGCCTAAACAAACACGCAACATGAGCCGCTGAAAAGTTCACTGACCTTCGACACACTTGGACAGTTTGTTTAACATTTAATTTTTTATTTATTTTTTTTTTTTTTGATAATTTTTTATGTGACGGAAATGATCAACAGTTATGCAGTTGAGCACTTTTGCAAGAAATTCCAACTTTTCAAACACTCTTCAAAAGTCACAAGCTCGACTCAAACAGACCGTAAAATTAATAATTACTAAATTGCATGTTCTTTGTTGTTATCATTTGGGCGCAAAAATAAAATAAATAAAGTCGAAAAATCTAAGCAGAGATAAAAGTTTACACGAAAGCTACACGATGACAAAACAACAATCAACAATCCACAATCTACAATCAAAAACAACAATCAACGCTCTACCATTCGGGAATGTTTTGGGCAATTGAGTTAAATTTATTTGATGGCCTGTGTGTTTGTCTAGTGAAATCCTCTTATGTGAAAATCACTCAGGTACGTAAGCGAAGGGGGGGTTCCCAGGTCTATTAAAATGTTAATCCTCCAGCGACAAGCAAGTGAAAATTCACTTGACTGACCCATATTGGGAAAAAATGGGTCAATAGATGTACATTTTAAAACTAATCCTCAGCAAAGATGAAACGTTTTTGAATTGGTCAAGTGACTTGCAGAATTTAATATTTTTTGAATTATTTTTATACTTACAATGATGTAGAAAATTCTGTTAGTCCGTCTCAGCAAATAGCATTTAAAGTTGATTTATGATTGTTTTTCTTAGCACTTTTAATACAAAAATTCATACAATTTGTTTTTACAGCTATACTATAAATTTAATTTTATAACAATTTATCTAATTAGAGTTTGTTTTTTTGATTTAGCAAAAAGTATTTTGACCTTTTTAAGGTTTTTTTTAATGATTATTTTATATGTAAATTGCACAAAATTGTAAATTTATTTATTTAGTATAGCAATTGTTATGGTAAATGCTTTATAAGTTTTAATATATATTGTTTTGCTGGCAAAAAATATTAATTTTTTTTATTAACTCGTGTCGATTAAATATGTATTGCACTTTGATCAAGTATCTTTGTTTTTATTGGAATGTTTCAGAGTTCGATTTTGGTATTGCACTTAGGCCCCAAGACTGAAAAGAATGTATAGATATTAAATGATGTATTAGGTATGAATTTTTGCTTAGATCCCAAATTGAGGTTACTGGTGGTAATCCATGGGGGATACGAGAGGAACTCACATACATTTTGTGAATTGTTTATAATTCAATTTGCTGTTCGAGCAGCAACAGAGGCAAGTAAATAATTTTTAATTGTTTATTATAGCCATTGGGTCTGGTTGTGTTTGTTTGTGGTTGTTTCTTTGTATCTACAAGTACTCGTACTTGTATCTGTTTCTCTCGCTCGCTGCTAAAATTATCTGCCGATAGAAAGCTTCATTTATGCACGGCTCGCCGTCGACTCTATAAATTCTGGAAACTTATGGCTAGCTTTCATCCTACTCCCCCCCTCCCCTCGGGAAAAAGTTTGCCATAAGCAAACGATATATTCCGGGGAAATTTTCCATGTTAATTAGCCGGCTCTCAACCTCTATTTTGCACTCTATTTTCCACATTATGGCATGTTTTATGTTTAATCAAAGTTTTGCGGGTCTTTAAAACTTTTCTTAGCTAGGCAAAAGTATCTCAAAGATACCAAAGTCAAATATGTTTTCAGGTCAGGGTTCAGTTTCCTACCCAAGCCCTTGATAACCCGAATCGTTTGACTTTGATAATTGAATGCAAATTGATGAGCTCAGCGGGTAAAGTACAAAATAAAGCCCTGAAATTTCTAAGAATTGTTTACGGAAAACTATTCCAAGTAACTATTAAGTAAGGTTATATTATTTATTGCCATTCATTTGTTAGCTAATACTAGTTCTAAGTACAGGTTTTAAGTTTCAGATACATTATGAAGGATTGGTGACCTCTATCTTTGAGGGAGAATAGTTGGGGGGACCTTTATGTAACCTCAATATGGGCCAAAAGACAAAACTTGGCTATCAATTCAATAAACCAAAGGCCATTTCTGCATTTATCTTGAGACTGTTTTTATTTTATTTGAATTGTATTTGTCTTAGGGTTCAGTTTTCTTTTCTCACACACCCACACACACATTCAAAGCACGTTGTTCTGGGCTGTTTATGTTTTTTCCAGATTTTCTTTCCATCTTGATTTTCTCTCCCACACTCATCACACACACAGATACAGGGAGAAAGAAACCACAATGCACAGTGAAATTCCGCTACACCGGAAATTACAATTGAAAAAAGTGGTTGCTTTCATTGTTGTTTATTTTTTTTTTTTGTTCATTCTATCTCGTTTTTTTGTGGTATTTCTTTCTTTTTTTTTTGCATTAACTTAAACGTCAAAAACGAAATTATTTTTATTATTTATGATTATGACGATTGTTATTTTTATGGTTTTTTTTTTTTGCACAAAGGAACAGGATGTCAATAAAATTTTATAACAATTTTTAGTACTTGTTTAGATTCTTTTTAGTATGTTTTAAAGAAACTATTGGTTTCTTATTTGAGATTTTTTAAAACACATTTTTAGTTGCACTTTTATTCCACACTCACTTTAAATTGTTTAAAACTTGTAGAAACAACAATTGTTTATTACTGGGCAGTGTGGCAGAATTTTTTTTGTTTCGTAGAATTCGAAAGAAAACACACGTCGCGCTGCCTTTCTACGGCTCCCTCTGTCTTCTCTTCTCTCTTCCCGATTTTCTTCCCAGTGTGGGAGTTAATATCCGCGAATCCGACCCGCTACGCGTATGCCGGCTGTTGGAGCTTCCGTGGTCTCGATGCTTCTTCTTTGAGCGCGCGTTTGAGAATAACACCAATAACAGATGAGATATTTTTTCCCCCAAAGTATTTCACTTCACATCTCACTCGACTTTTTTTCAAGTGTTTCGTTTCAAACATTTCGGAATCCAACCTCGCTCTCTCAAACAAGTTGCATCTTGTAAAGTTGGACCGGAAAGAGAGATCCGATATTCCCTCTCTCTTCATTCATACCCTCGAGACCCAACATGTTGGCTCGTAATGAAAATTCGGAGTACCACTCTCTGGGAACTCTCTTACTTTTTTTTTCTCTCTCACTTAGAGTACTATGGGAAGATTATATATTTTTAACAAAATTTAAGAAATATCAAAAATATCGTTTATAATTTTCATTTTTTGAAAAACAAAAATTTATAATTGATAAGATATTTTTGTATCTTAAAATATACCAGTGTGAATCCATCGGATTGTTCACAGCGCAGCAGCACCCGATACGAATCCGATTCCAAATCGGAAACTAAAACCGACTCCCACAGCCGAGAGGCCCCAATATGAAATTCCGTACACGAATCTAAACACGAAGCCCGCTCTCATTGGAACCCCCACCAGCCAGTTTGGTGGCTCGACTCCGACATGTATCTCTCCGAATTGGAAAGCGGTACTGGAAGATACTTTAGCTGTCGACGGCGCTGCTTAGGGGCCCCGCATATGTCAATTGTTGTTGTTCAACCCGCAGCACAGCTGAGCAGAATTTTTACTACCAGGCCGTGGCAGCAACAACAACACCACCAACAGTCATTTATCTGAGAGATACAAAAGCAAACGAACGACCGTCACCGCAGCGTAGTAGCACAAACACACACACACATATACACTGTCGGCTACAAAAACCGGCATTGCTCTTTAGGTGCATTTTTTTGAATGTGTGTGTGTGGGCATGTGTGTAAAGGGGGGACTTGCAAGAGCAATCAAAAGAGAGGAGCTCTCTTAGCGCATATATTGGCCCAAAACATTAGCGAATTTTTTGGAAATCCCCGGTTTTTGAGGTTTTTGCTTTCGAATATATGCTTTAAAATTATGAAGGTTAAATTACCTTATTACCTTCCTTATTGAGGTTTCTAGGAAAAATAATCACGCTTCATGAAAATTACGGATAAATGTGATGATTCTTTTTTTTCGGGAATCGTACTATAGTTTAACTCAAATTTCAAGAAATACTAATTTCACTATTGAAATTTATGATTAATTTTTTTGGGAATTGAAAAAATTATTATTTCTATAGAAATTTTGGCTTTTAAAAATGTTTGAACTTCTGGGAAATATTCATTATTTATTAGGTTTTCCAAAAAATTGAAATTTGTTCAATTTATTTAAAATGGTTCTAAGAATACAACCTTTGAACGGACAATAAACTCATTGTTCAAATCTGAAAAAACCCCAAGCCGCCAAATAATAAATGTATGAATAGGATTTGTATTATTCTTAGACCATTGATAACCCCCAAAAATGACCCAAACCAATAAACCAGCTTTGGGGAGACTGGCTTTACCAAACATTAAAAAAAATATTCCCATGATAACCTTTTGAACTATGAAACCAAAAAAAAAATGCAGAGTAA